CTAGTTGTTGAAAGTGTGTGTGTATAAATTAATAAAACATTGGATATTTTAATATATAACTGTTTTTATATATATTTCAGGATACTTGGTGTAATAAAATTTTGAAGCTAAATGATGCATATTGAAAAGAAAAATAAACAACCCAAAAAGGTGAAAGTTGATGAGGACTCTTTGCTGAATATAGAAATATACTGTAATGATTTTGTTTTGAAAAATTGTGTTTCATTTTAAAATGCATGTATGTGTGAAATAAAATTAATGGTGTTTTCATTTGACATGTTATTTGTAAATGAAAGTATTTTGGGGAAAACATTTTACTAAAAGAGAAAAATGACATCATTTTGCAAATAAGTATTAATTTGTAAGTCATTTACAAAAAATATAATATTGTAAGATATAGCTTTAAAATAAGAATTTGTTAATATGAATTGTGAATGTAAAGGCAAATGCTTTGTAAAAAATTGTCTTATAAATTAACTTTTACTGATTTTGAAGTAGCTTATAGAAAAATGGTCCAAATAAACTTTGTATATGGATGATGATTGTATTTTGAAGATGTGGTCTTTTTATTTGTGATAAGTTTGTAGATACATTGTTTGATAAAAATAAAAAAGTGATTTCATTTTTAAAAGTCATGAAATGTACATTTTGGTGTGATTTTTATGAATGGTATTTTGAGTCATAGTTTTGGAATGAAGTGAATGTGCAGTGCATAATAATTGCTAGTGTAAAAATGTGATGGGTTTAGAGTTTGAAATTGATGGAGCTTAAATATATTTAAATTGTCTGTGTTTGATTATTCAAATGTAGGTGTAATTTCAAAATGAGCAATACAAAATGATAAAAACAGATTGGTTAAATTTTCACATTGATGAATTGTAATATTTAAACAATATTTGCTTCTTCTTGGTAAACAATTAGTGAGTTATTTCCCTTTACTTATTGTGAACAGTTTGATACATTGGAAAATTTCTATATTTTGTGTTGAAAGCAGGTAAGTGTATGTTACTTGATTATATTATTTTTTATTATTGCAGGTTTGGTTTATTGGAAAGACAGAAGATCATAGAGCGGTGAAAGTGTGGCAAACTTTTACTTGAACAAAGCCAAAATATTCAAAACTAAGCGGTGAAAGTGTGGCGAACTTTTACTTTAACAGAGCCAAAATACTCTAAACTAAGCGGTGAAAGTGTGGCGAACTTTTACTTTAACAGAGCCAAAATACTCTAAACTAAGCGGTGAAAGTGTGGCGAACTTTTACTTTAACAGAGCCAAAATACTCTAAACTAAGCGGTGAAAGTGTGGCGAACTTTTACTTTAACAGAGCCAAAATACTCTAAACTAAGCGGTGAAAGTGTGGCGAACTTTTACTTTAACAGAGCCAAAGAATCTAGAGAAATCTAGTTGCTATTCAATACTCAATTTTTATTACTAGAGAAATCTAGTTGCTATTCAATACTCAATTTTTATTACTAGAGAAATCTAGTTGCTATTCAATACTCAATTTTTATTACTAGAGAAATCTAGTTGCTATTCATATCTCAATTTTTATTACTAGAGAAATCTAGTTGCTATTCATATCTCAATTTTTATTACTAGAGAAGTCTAGTTGCTATTCAATACTCAATTTTTATTACTAGAGAAGTCTAGTTGCTATTCATATCTCAATTTTTATTACTAGAGAAATCTAGTTGCTATTCAATACTCAATTTTTATTACTAGAGAAATCTAGTTGCTATTCATATCTCAATTTTATTACTAGAGAAATTTAGTTGCTATTCATATCTCAATTTTTATTGCTGGAGAAATCTAGTTGCTATTGGTATCTCAATTTTTATTATCTAGAGAGATCTAGTTGGTATTCAACCCTTTAATTGAAATTATCTAGAGAATTCAAGTTTTACACTTCTTTTTTGTATTACCTTGAAAGTTAATCAATATGGGTCGTCCAAAGAAATCAAAAGCTGCTTTGTTAGCTAATATAAGCAAAAATGGAAAAAGTGCTGGTGATAAATGTACAAAAATTGTAGATCATAATGATCAGGAATATGTTGCAAAATCAAATTCTAAAGCCAGTAGATTTAATGATAAAGTTTCAAAAGAAAATGTCAATGAATTGCTTGTAGTCCATGAATCTGATAGTCCTACAGAAATTTCATATGAAAAAGTAGAAATACCTGTGAAAAGCAAGGTAAAACATGCTTCTAGTAACATAATCAAAGAGAAGAGAAAAAAGAAGTTATCTCCTAGTAAAAGTAGAAAGAGACAAGTTGAAAGGATATATATATCTGGTAATTTTAATCAAGGTAATATAGAACGATATGGATTTTATGCTGGCAAACAGTGCACTGTGAACAGCCTTCTGTGTATGATATACAGAAAAATTATGAATGTAAGATCATGGAAAAGTTTCACCTTAGACAAAATCTTAGATTTAGGAAATGAATACTATCAGATTCTTCAGTCTCAACCTAATATACAACATGATTATATTATGGTCAGTGAATTAGTAACAACTGTTGAAGTTGAAGGTAAATACTTTTATTTAGATATCAGTGATAATTCAGAAGTTGGAATTATAGATGCTGCCAATTATGTTGCCATAGGTCTGTTTGAAAATCTTCAAACATGTTTGAGAACATACGAGTCTTGTTTTGTGACATTTAATGCAAGCACGTTCGCTATTATGCAACATGATGATAGTTATTTTGTGTTTGACTCGCATTCAAGAAACAATTTTGGGTTATTATCAGAAGATGGTTGTAGCATTCTATTAGAATATAATGATATTAATGATTTGTATGTACATTGTTTAAATTTAAGTGTATCAATGAATTTGAGTCGGTTAGAGCAGTATGAAATAACTGGTATTAATGTTATTATGATGGGTAATGAAAGTAATGATCCAATTAATGAAGTAAACAATTCTGTTGATGAGTGTGACATTATGCAAGTTGATGATCTAATTGAATCAAGTAGTCAAGATAATGATACTGATGAGGTTGTTATAACTAATGTAGAAACAAATGATTTTATATTTAATCCAATTAGATCAGAGAAAAGAAGAGTGTTATGTGAATGGATTAGTTTACCTGTTGATAACTTACATGATGTTGATGTGGCTGAGATTTGTAAACTGACAAAACCTACTAAAATAACTGAAATCAAAGGAGATGGTAATTGTTTGTTTAGAAGTTTATCATTTGTTCTTTCTTTATGTGAAAATAATCATAGAAAAGTAAGACTTGCTATAGTTAACCACATAAAATCAAAGGCAGATTTTTTCACACCTTTATTAAGAGAACAGTATCAATCTATTGATGACTATATTAAATGTTCTAGAATGAGAATGCAAGGAACGTGGGGTACAGAATTTGAAATATTAGCAGCTTGTGATTTATTACAAACAGATATTTATATATTTACTAATAATAAATGGTTGAAATATCCTGTATTACAGATTAACAATAGTTATACACCTGAGGCTATTTATTTACACCATAGAGATGAGAATCATTATGAAGTGGTTGAAAATGTTGAGAGAAATGAACCTATTATAGTTATTGATGATAATGTTGATACACAATTATCAGGTAAAAGAAAACACTTGAAAAAGAAACGAGGTAGTAGATGGAAACCTAATAAAAAGCGAAGTAATTATTTTCAAAACTACAATTTAGTAAAGAAGGAACAAAATTTTGGACAAAAAGTCAGATTAAACTTTAAACTTGCAATTAGAACCAAAAAAGAAATTAATAATTTGAATAAAAGGAGGAGAAAACAATATCAGATTAGTTATATTAAAGCTCATTTAAAAAGAAAATATACAAATCAATTAAGGTCTATACTACATACTCGATATGAAACAATACTAAAACCAAAGCTTGAAGACAAATATCAAAATGTATTAAAACCAAAACTTGAAGAAAAATATCAAAATGTATTAAAACCAAAACTTGAAGACAAATATGAAAATGTATTAAAACCAAAACTTGAAGACAAATATCAAAATGTATTAAAACCAAAACTTGAAGACAAATATGAAAATGTATTAAAACCAAAACTTGAAGAAAAATATGAAAATGTATTAAAACCAAAACTTGAAAACAAATATCAAAATATATTAAAACCAAAACTTGAAGACAAGTATCAAAATATATTGAAACCAAAACTTGAAGACAAATATCAGAATGTATTGAAACCAAAACTTGAAGACAAATATCAGAATGTTTTGAAACCAAAGCTGAAGGACAAATATCACAAAATATTAAAACCAAAGCTGAAGAACAAATATCAAACAATCTTAAAACCAAAGCTGAAGGTTAAATATCAAAATGTCTTGAAATGGGAATTAAAATGTAAATATATAGATGAAATAAAGTTAAAACTGAAGCAAAGGTATATGAATGAATTGAGGATAAGAATTTTAAATAAATATAGAAATATGTATAGAACTAATTTACAGTATAGAAATAAACAAAAACAGAAATCTAGAAAGAATTATAGCAACAATAAAGTCAAAGTAAACAAAATGAGACATAAAAGACGAATTGCCAAAAGAAAAGAAATAAGTAGTATTGATAAAGTTATTAATCAATTTAAAACTGATAGTTCTGAAGGTCCTATTTATGTGTGTTCTGTTTGTAATAGATTATTGTTTAAAAATCAAGTTAAAGAGTGTCAAGAAGAACTTTATGAAAAGAAAAGTAAACTAGTAGAAAGATTAGCAAAGAAATGTATAACTAAAACTTACTATCATATTTGTGATGACATTTGTATTACTAATGATTGTTGCTGGTCTGATAATTATAAAACTCTCTGGATATGTTTAACATGTAATAAAAAGATTCTACAAGGAAAAATGCCGGCTGAGGCTGTTGTAAATGACATGGATCCTGGTCCATTACCTAATGAATTAAAATGCTTAAATCAATTAGAGAAACACCTGGTATGTAAAAATATTCTATTCTTGAAACTAGTTAAAGTTTGTCCACAAAATGATAAAAAATTATTAGGTGAGATTGTTTCTGTGCCATCAAATTTGACTGAAATGAGCAATGTTTTACCAAGATGTAAAAATGATGATGAAATGATAAGAATTAAACTGAAAAAGAAAATTTCTAATAAAGGATATTATGAATTTCAAACAGTTACAAAAAATCACATAAAAAATGCAATAAATTATTTAAAAGATAATAATGTCTATTATCATGATGTTACTCTAAATGAGAATTGGGTTGAAGAACAAGATAAACAAGATGAAACATTAGAAGATGATACATCAGTAAATGTAGAATCTAATGATACAACAGTAAATGTAGAATCTAATGATAAGTCTAATAGTGATAGCGAGGATGATTTACCATTAATAGATGATAATATAGGTAGATATACCTGTGATTCATTAGGTGGAACATGCCTTCAACCTGTTGATGCTACTGCTGAAGTATTGAATAGTTCTGATAAGATATTTGCTGTTTCTCCAAGTGAAAATAATCAACCTGTTAGACTTTTAATGGATAAGTCAAATGAAGCGTGTTCGTTTCCTTATTTGTTTCCTAAAGGTAAAAATACTTTTTTTGAAAATAGAGATGTTAGAATAACACTAGGTAAATATTTAAAGACAAGGTTAATGTCTGTAGACAATCGTTTTGCATCATGCTCTGATTATTTATTTTATGGTCAATATATTTATGAATTACAACAAATAATATCAGGTACATCTATTGCTTTAAGACAAGGTAGAATGGGAGGTAATATGATA